AGGGTCAATTTTTTTAAATTGAGATTTATACATCATCTGAAAGCTGAATAAATAAGCTTTCCATTGATGTATGGGTAAGGACAGGATAGGACAATATTTGGTTCAGATACAACTATTTGAAAATCTGGAATCTGAGGGTGCAAAAAAATCTAAATATTGAGAAAATCATCTTTAAAGTTGTTCAAATGAAATTCTTAGCAATGCATATTACTAATCAAAAATGAAGTTTTGATATATTTACGGTAGGAAATAGGATTGTAACGATATACCGTTTTGACGGTTTATCGCGGTTTGAACGTGCACGGTTATCATACCGTAAACATCTGCATATCTACGTTTTTTTTATTTAAATGAATGAAAATAAATCTCACCCGCGCATATGCAACTTATTTCCGCTCGGCTGCTTCACTCTGCATTCACTTGGCTGCTTACACGCACATACAGTGGAGAAAATGACAGAGACAGAGATTATATTTAATCTCCATCTCGGCCGGAAAAAAAGTTAAAATCTGCAGTATGAGAATACTTCAGATATAAAATAACGAACACGGGGTTGTTCTTGAGGATGGATCTAATTTGCAAAAAATGTAGACATAAAGTGGCTGCAAAAGCAGGCAATTCATCCAACATGTTTGATCATATTCGTGACACTAATGGTGTTATTAGCATCTACATAAACATGAACATCACTAGAGCTGCTCTGAGAGAAAACTTAAATAAACATTTCCTAGTTCCCTTCCGAGGGAACTTCGAACTGTGTCCTCTAGAGGTCACTATGGGGGAACACCTTCAGCATGACCAGTGTCTGAAACATACATCTAAAAAACGACAATAACATTGGCCGTCGACAGCCTGTGATGTCATCACCCGGCGCGACCACAGTATAAAAGGGTGCCGAGAGAACACATCATCCTCTTCTTAGTCTTCAAGGATTGTTTTGTTTGAAGCGTGCATTTCTGGTAAGAACGATTACTCTTCTTCACCATGGTGAGCACTAGTAAGGCGTTTAAGAAGTGTGTGGATCCGTGTCCTCGTTATTTGATACCTGATGACACACTGCGCGCGATGTCCTCGAGGGGGCAGTTTTCCTATGAAAAAGCTCCACTCTCGTTTGTCTCTCTTTTTGAGGAAAGAGGGACAGTCATCAGCTCCCCGTGGTTCAGGACCCTCCGCTGCTGAGGCACGGAGGAAAATGAGCTTGTGGGGATTGCAGATGGACCTGGCTGATGAGTTGAAAAAGGGCCTCTCCCTTTCGCGCTCATCAGTCACGGACGAGAGTGAGCTGCTGGACGACGATGCTATCTCTCTTACATCGTCTGATCCAGCGGCTAGTGCTCTGCTGGCTCAAAGCCAGGATGAGTAGGAGATGTCAGATGAGGACGAAGAAGTTGAGACTGAGTCCTCACAATCCTCCTGCCCCACATATGATGAGCTGCTTGTGGTTATGGATTGCGCCATGGCGAGGCTTGACTTGCCGTGGAAGCGGGCCAAGAAGGTGACGCCTCAAGGCCGCCTTGATGAGCATTTTCTTTCTATCCATAGCCCTCCAGCTCAGGTGAGCCTTCCATTTCTTCCCAATCTCCATGTGGAGATCGAGAAGGCTTGGAAGAATCCATTCTCATCTCCCATCCATTGATTCCAACATAATAGTTATGCCAACATTGAGGGGATGCGTGAGAATGGTTATGAGAAGATGCCCCCTGTTGAAGAGACGCTGGCCTGCTATCTCTCTATGGGGGAGACATCTTCTCTTAAGGCTCCCTCCCTGCTATCCAAACCCCTTCAGGATACATCTCACTTGAATGGCAGGGCATACGCGACAGCAGGTCAGACTGCAGCCTCGTTGGATAACATGGCGGTGCTTCAGGCTTATTAGGCTGATCTGCTGAAAGACCTGGATAAGGATCAGGGTCTATCCCCTGATGAGGTGGCTGAGTTGCGTCGCACCACAGATCTTGCTCTCCGTGCCACTAAGCAGGCCGCCACTGCCATTGGCAGATCCATGGTGGTTATGGAGAAACATCTATGGGTGAATCTAGTAGATATCGGGTCGAAAGAGAAGGGCTTTCTTCTTGATGCGTCAGTTTCCCCTTCTGAGCTTTTCGGCACTTCCGTCGAGATGGTGGTCGAGAAGTTTAAGGAGGCCAAGACGCGCTCGGCTGTCTTTAAATCATTCATTCCACGAAGGTCCAGGTCTGAGCCCGAACAACAAAGGGGTCCTGGCCCGTCTCGATCTAAGGATCAAAGGCGGGCTCAGAAGACTAGTGTCGCGACTCGCGCCCCTCCCCCACCTGCGGGTAGGTTCAAAAGGGGCGTGGGTCAAAGGGTGACAGGCAAGATTTGAGGGAGGTGATCCAGACTAGGCATTCTCAATGCTCTCGTCTGGACCAGAGTAAAACCTGAGCCATCTACTCACCTCCCTCTGAGAGTATTTACATCTGCTCTCATCTTCCTCCCCTTAATTCCCCTAAAAAGCTTCCCTCCTAACTGAGGTTAGGTAGGAGCCTCCTGCACTTGCATTGCAGTCTCTTATGCTGGACCTATGATGTTTTGGCTAGTTTCTATGTCTCATAGAACTACCTACTCATGGTCCGGACCCCAGTGCTCTTCGGACTTTGCCTACAGCCTATATCCATGAGCCTGAGTCATGTGCGGGAGCCATGGTTGGTGAGTATGATCCATTTCATCTACTTTACTGCTAGTTTTGTGTATTCAACACTAGCCTTTCTCGGCAGTGCTACTCTGACCTGTTTTGTTTTCTGACCTTTTAGGTTGTCCCCCCCTGCTAAGTCAGAACCTCCTGCTGTTGACTGACTTTAGTGATGGTTTCACCCATCGGTACTGGATCCAGGCTGGTAATAGCCCTCCTCTTCGGCTTGGACACGTAGCCTGGGCTTCTGCGGAAGCCTCCCAGCGACAGGTCCCCAGTATAACGCTGCAACCTCAGGACCTGCGGGTCCTTCTCGTGGGCTAGTACTCTTCAGAGTACATGCTTTGTGACATGCTCCCTATCCTCTGGCCAGGGTGAGCTACTCGTCTCTCACCCTGAGGGGTCTCCTGAGATTTAAGTCTTTCCTTAACCATGCACCTTATGCACGTTCTCTGAGCTAGAGCTCCTCTCGCTGAGGTGTTGAGTGGCTCAACACTCCTTAATTCCACTCTGCAGTTCAATAGATGGTCAGGCCCACGGGTCCTCCCTGTCACACTGCCCTTATGATTGAACCAGTAATCGCCCCTCTGCGGAGTGGGCTTGAGTACACTGTGTTCCTTGAGGTAAGAGGGATTTGTGTTACTGAGGAAACCCCTCTTGTATGCTTCTGCTCTGAGGAGCAGTGAGCTCTGTACGCATGAATGGTTATTGGGTCCCGCTATTTCTTCAGATACTATCGGGTCTGGTTATACAGGACCCACGCTCTCTATCGAGATAGAGAGCATGAGACTGTGTCCAGCTGCACCAGTTGACTGTCTCTTATTGGGCCCCGCTGGGTTACCCCTTCTAATCTAGTGCCACCTTCTGGTCGAGCTGAGAAGTGCTCCCCTCACTGTGAGGATTAGCTATGAGTCGCTCCCAGTATGTGCTGTAAGGGCCTGCCTCAGCTTGAGAGCCGAGAGCGCTGC